CTGGGCTGTTCCTTTACACGGTACCCCATCCTGTTTATCTGTCCTGTTTATCTGTTTAGCCTCAGTCCAAACTTTCGTCGCCATTACCAGTTGTTGTCTTAGCTCTCTCAAATAACACCTGTGATTGCTTTATGCCTCTCTCCCATGTCAATATGCCTTGCCTATTGCTGTTTCGGTTAGTTCTTATTATACAATTTCACTGTAGAGCCCCCAGTCCTGCTCAACCTGCCTCAGATAGCTCCTTTGTCCCACCCCCCACACGCGGAGACCGGCTCAATCGGTGCCTCCAGTGATGCTATCTCTTTCATCGTTACCCAACGCTTAAGTTTACCTCCACTGTACTCATATCCTTCCATATCCTTGTCTGTACATAATGCCCTGAATCTATTCTACAACGCCTGGAAATCTGCACCTTTTTTTCTCTGTACCCAACGCACTAGAAGACCAGTTCTTAAAGCCTTTAGTCGTATCCTTATTCTACTCCTCCTCTGTTCCTCTGGTGATGTAGAGGTTAACCCAGGCCCTGTAGCCCCCAGTATCACTCCTACTCCTCAGGCGTTATCATTTGTTGACTTCTGTAACCGTAAAAGCCTTGGTTTCTTGCACGTTAACATCGGAAGCCTCCTCCCTAAGTTTGAGTTATTCACTGCGTTAGCACACTCCGCCAACCTTAATGTTCTAGCAGTGTCTGAATCCTGGCTTAGGAAGGCCGCCAAAAATTCAGAAATGTCCATCCCCAACTACAACATTTTCCGTCTAGATAGAACTGCCAAAGGGGGTGGGGTTGCAATCTACTGTAGAGATAGCCTGCAGAGCTCTATCATACTATCCAGGTCTGTGCCCAAACAGTTTGAGCTTCTACTTCTAAAAATCCACCTTTCCAGAAATAAGTCTCTCACTGTTGCCACTTGCTACAGACCCCCCTCAGCCCCGAGCTGTGCCCTGGACACCATATGTGAACTGATCGCCCCCCATCTATCCTCAGAGTTCGTACTGCTTGGTGACCTAAACTGGGATATGCTTAACACCCCGGCTAACCTACAATCTAAACTAGATGCCATCAATCTCACACAAATTATCAAGGAACCTACCAGGTACAACCCAAAATCTGTAAACATGGGCACCCTCATAGATATCATCCTGACAAATGTACCCTCTAAATACACCTCCGCTGTCTTCAACCAGGATCTCAGCGATCACTGCCTTATTGCCTGCGTCCGTAATGGGTCCGCGGTCAAACGACCACCCCTCATCACTGTCAAACGCTCCCTAAAACACTTTAGCGAGCAGGCCTTTCTAATTGACCTGGCCTGGGTATCCTGGATGGATATTGACCTCATTCCGCCAGTAGAGGATGCCTGGTTGCTCTTTAAAAGTGCTTTCCTCTCCATCTTAAATAAGCATGCCCCATTCAAAAAATTCAGAACTAAGAACAGATATAGCCCCTGGTTCTCCTCAGACTTGACTGCCCTTGACCAGCACAAAAACATCCTGTGGCGTACTGCATTAGCATCGAACAGCCCCCGCGATATGCAACTTTTCAGGGAAGTCAGGAACCAATATACACAATCAGTTAGGAAAGCAAAGGCTAGCTTTTTCAAACATAAATTTGCATCCTGTAGCACTAACTCCAAAAAGTTTGGGACACTGTAAAGTCCATGGAGAATAAGAGCACTTCCTCCCAGCTGCCCACTGCACTGAGGCTAGGAAACACTGTCACCACCGATAAATCTACAATAATAGAGAATTTCAACAAGCATTTTGCTACGGCTGGCCATGCTTTCCACCTGGCTACTACTACCCCGGCCACCAGCTCTGCACCCTCCACTGCAACTTGGCCATGCCCCCGCTTCTCCTTTACACAAATTCAGACAGCTGATGTTCTGAAAGAGCTGAAAAATCTGGACCCCTACAAATCAGCTGGGCTAGACAATCTGGACCCTTTCTTTCTAAAATTAGCCGCCGAAATTGTCACAACCCCTATTACTAGCCTGTTCAACCTCTCTTTCGTAACGTCTGAGATCCCCAGAGATTGGAAAGCTGCCGTGGTCATCCCCCTCTTCAAAGGGGGTGACACTCTAGATCCAAACTGTTACAGACCTATATCCATCCCGCCCTGCCTTTCTAAAGTTTTTGAAAGCCAAGTTAACAAACAGATCACCGACCATTTCGAATCCCACCGTACCTTCTCCGCTATGCAATCTGGTTTCCGAGCTGGTCATGGGTGCACCTCAGCCACGCTCAAGGTCCTAAACGATATTATAACCGCGATCGATAAATGACAGTACTGCGCAACCGTTTTCATCGACCTGGCCAAGGCTTTCGACTCTGTCAACCACCGCATTCTTATTGGCAGACTAAATAGCCTTGGTTTCTCAAATGACTGCCTCGCCTGGTTCACCAACTACTTCTCAGATAGAGTTCAATGTGTCAAATCGGAGGGCCTGTTGTCTGGACCTCTGGCAGTCTCTATGGGGGTGCCACAGGGTTCAATTCTCAGGCCGACTCTATTCTCTGTGTATATCAATGATGTTGCTCTTGCTGCTGGTGACGCTCAGATCCACCTCTATGCGGATGACACCATTTTGTATACATCTGGCCCTTCATTGGACACTGTGTTAACAAACCTCCAAATGAGCTTCAACGCCATACAACACTCCTTCCGTAGCCTCCAACTGCTCTTAAACACTAGTCAAACTAAATGCATGCTCTTCAACCGAACGCTGCTTGCACACGCCCACCCGACTAGAATCACTACTCTCGGCGGGTCTGACCTAGAGTATGTGGACAACTACAAATACCTAGGTGTCTGGTTAGACTGTAAACTCTCCTTCCAGACTCACATTGAGCATCTCCAATCAAAAGTTAGATCTAGAATCAGCTTCCTATTTTGCAACAAAGCCTCCTTCACTCATGCTGCCAAACATGCCCTCGTAAAACTGACTATCCTACCGATCCTTGACTTCAGCGATATCATTTACAAAATAGCCTCCAACACTCTACTCAGCAAATTGGATGTAGTCTATCACAGTGCCATCCGTTTTGTCACCAAAGACCCATATACTACCCACCATTGTGACCTGTACGCTCTTGTTGGCTGGCCCTCACTACATATTCGTCGCCAAACCCACTGGCTCCAGGTCATCTATAAATCACTGCTAGGCAAATCCCTGTCTTATCTTAGCTCACTGGTCACCATAGCAACACCCACCCGTAGTATGCGTTCCAGCAAGTATATCTCACTGGTCATCCCCAAAGCCAACACCTCCTTTGGCCGCCATTCCTTCCAGTTCTCTGCTGCAAATGACTGGAACGAACTGCAAAAATCTCTGAAGCTGGAGACACTTATCTCCCTCACTAACTTTAAGCATCAGTTGTCAGAGCAGCTTACCGATCACTGCACCTGTACACAGCCCATCTGTAATTAGCCCACCCAACTACCTCATCCCCTTATTGTTATTTATTTTGCTAATTTGCACCCCAGTATCTCTATTTGCACATCATCTTTTGCACATCTCTCATTCCAGTGTTAATACGAAATTGTAACTATGTTGCACTATGGCCTATTTATTGCCTTACCTCCATAATTTACTACATTCGCACACACTGTATATATATTTTCTGTTGTATTTTTGACTTGTTTTGTTTACCCCATATGTAACTCTGTGTTGTTGTTTTTATCGCACTGCTTTGCTTTATCTTGGCCAGGTCGCAGTTGTAAATTAGAACTTGTTCTCAACTGGCTTACCTGGTTAAATAAAGGTTAAATAAGAAAATAAAATAAAAATGATGATGGTGTACACCATCCTAGAATCTGTTATTAATAAACCTTGTCCCCAGGCTAATTGCTACAGAGCCAGCTGGTGGGCGGGATATGTTACTATCAAACAATACCTTCAAAAATATTTCAATACAATTTGTCCCTTACGCACACAAACCACTGACACACCTCTCTACTAGAGAGTATTCTATTTGTTAATGCTATTGGCCATGGCAAGGTTCTGACCAATCAGGGACCATGTGACTACTCTGGAACTGGCACAGAGTCTATTTAACTGCAGCCAAAGAGACTGTGACTTCATTCACACAACACTGTGTCCACACGGCAGTGTCTATACCTAGTACTCTGTTATATCATCTAGGGGCAGATCCCACATCTTAACAAATATCACAGCATCAACATTGGGCTGTATTCTAAGACCTATATCATTGGGCAAGACCTATATCAACCACATTACCTTCAAAATGAAAGATCAGATCTGGTAAGTCATTGCTTTTTCCCTTTACTTTTTCATTGTGTTTTCTAGTGTTCATATTTTTTTTACAGGATTAAATCTATCTCTTATAAGTAAATGTATCTCTTATGTGGTTATGGAGTTCCTTATTCTCTCAGATGTTTTTGTACCACTTAGGTTAGACAAATGAATACCTCTTCGGCAGTGTTATGGCAATAATGAGTCGGATTGCACAACTTCTGTAAGCCAACCCTTAGGGTCTGACAGACAACAGGACATCTCACTCATGGCGGCAGGTAGCTTAGTGGTTAAGAGCGTTGTGCCAGTAACCGAAAGGTCGCTGGTTCTAATCCCCAAGCCGACTAGGTGAAAAATCTGTCGATGTGCCCTTGAGCAAGGCACTTAACCTTAATTGCTCATGTAAGTCGCTCTGGATAAGAGCGTCTGCTAAATGACTAAAATGTAAATGTAATACTGAAATAATTCCATAAGTGTATCTGAGTATATGATATACAATGACTTCTCAATAAAGTGAAAAGGAGAAGCAATTTCTTTTAAAGCTTTTATTTTTTTTAAATCATAATTTCAAAAAAATTCCTGAATTGGATGACTTCAGTTCGAATTTACCCTGTGTTATACACCCTTAATGTATGTTAAGTAAAATCACATGTAGTCTGGATTGCAAGACATTCCAATATGTGAACATTCCCAATGCAACATACAATACTTTTTGTCTTAAAATCCCTCTAGACAGTGTGAGTCACAATGTTCTCCACTTCCTCCCTCAGTTATGATGACTATCAGAAGACAGCCAGCTGGCTCCTGTCTCAGACGCAGCACCGGCCCAAAGTGGCCATCATCTGTGGCTCCGGTCTGGGCATGCTGGCCGACGCTCTCAAGTGCCAGGACTCCTTCCCCTACTCCGACATCCCTGGGTTCCCACAGAGCACAGGTGAGAGAAAGGGAAAGATAAATAGAGAGAGATGGTGAGATGGAGAGAGAAAGAAATGACGAGATCTAGAACAAGAGGAGAGAGAGAGAGTTGGGGGCCGGGAATATTGACATGTACCATTGGCAGAAGTTTGTGTAACATACAGTTGAAGTCGGAAGTTTACATACACTTAGGTTGGAGTCATTAAAACAGTTTTTTCAACCACTCCACAAACTTTTTGTTAACAAGCTATAGTTTTGGCAAGTCGGTTAGGACATAATAATAATAATAATAATAATAATAATAATAATAATATGCCATTTAGCAGACGCTTTTATCCAAAGCGACTTACAGTCATGCGTGCATACATTTTTTTTTGTGTATGGGTGGTCCCGGGGATCGAACCCACTACCTTGGCGTTACAAGCGCCGTGCTCTACCAGCTGAGCTACAGAGGACCACTACTTTGTGCATGACACAAGTAATTTTTCCAACAATTGTTTACAGACAGATTATTTTGCTTATAATTCACTGTATCACAATTCCAGTGGGTCAGAAGTTTACATACACTAAGTTGACTGTGCCTTTAAACAGCTTGGAAAATTCCAGACAATGATGTCATGGCTTTAGAAGCTTCTGATAGGCTAATTGATAACATTTGAGTCAATTGGAGGTGTACCTGTGGATGTATTTCAAGGCCTACCTTCAAACTCAGTGCCTCTTTGCTTGACATCATGGGAAAATCAAAAGAAATCAGCCAAGACCTCAGAAAACAAATTGTAGACCTCCACAAGTCTGGTTCATCCTTGGGAGCAATTTCCAAACGTCTGAAGGTACCACGTTCATCTGTACAAACAATAGTACGCAAGTATAAACACCATGGGACCAGCCGTCATACCACTCAGGAAGGAGACGCGTTCTGTCTCCTAGAGATGAATGTACTTTGGTGCGAAAAGTGCAAATCAATTCCAGAACAACAGCAAAGGACCTTGTGAAGATGCTGGAGGAAACAGGTATAAAGTATCTATATCCACAGTAAAACGAGTCTTATATCAACATAACCTGAAAGGCCACTCAGCAAGGAAGAAGCCACTGCTCCAAAACCGCCTTAAAAAAGCCAGACTACAGTTTGCAACTGCACACGGGGACAAAGATCGTACTTTTTGGAGAAATGTCCTCTGAAACAAAAATAGAACTGTTTGGCCATAATGACCATCGTTATGTTTGGAGGAAAAAGGGGGTTGCTTGCAAGCCGAAGAACACCATCCCAACCATGAAGCACGGAGGTGGCAGCATCATGCTGTGGGGGTGCTTTGCTGCAGGGGGACTGGTGCACTTCACAAAATAGATGGCATCATGAGGAAGGAAAATTATGTGGATATATTGAAGCAACATCTCAAGACATCAGTCAGGAAGTTAAAGCTTGGTCACAAATGGGTCTTCCAAATGGACAATGACCCCAAGCATACTTCCAATGTTGTGGCAAAATGGCTTAAGGACAACAAAGTCAAGGTATTGGAGTGGCCATCACAAAGCCCTGACCTCAATCCTATAGAAAATGTGTGGGCAGAACTGAAAAAGCGTGTGCGAGCAAGGAGGCCTACAAACCTGACTCAGTTACACCAGCTCTGTCAGGAGTCACAACTTATTGTGGGAAGCTTGTGGAAGGCTACCTGAAACATTTGACCCAAGTTAAACAATTTAAAGGCAATGCTACCAAATACTAATTGAGTGTATGTAAACTTCTGACCCACTGGGAATTTGATGAAAGAAATAAAAGCTGAAATAAATCATTCTCTCTACTATTATTCTGACATTTCACATTCTTAAAATGAAGTGGTGATCCTAACTGACCTAAGACAGAATTTTTACTAGGATTAAATGTCAGGAATTGTGAAAAACTGAGTTTAAATGTATTTGGCTAAGGTGTATGTAAACTTCAGACTTCAACTGATTGGGAAGGGAATGCATTCAACCGAAATGTGTCTTCCGCATTTAACCCAACCCCACTTAATCAGAGAGGTGCACGGGGATGCCTTAATTGACGTCATTGGCGCACGGGGAGCAGTTGTTGTTGGGGGTTAATGGCAGAATTTTCCACCTTGCCGGCTCGGGGATTCAAACCAGCAACCTTTCGGTTACTGGCCCAACTCTCTTAACCTGTTACAATAAGATCGTAATATACAGTAAAATATTAACGATCAACACAACCAACCTAACACACCACAAATGGCTATGCTGACCACTTTAGCCATCCTGACAAATGGCCATCCTAACTTGGAATCTTTAATGTAAATAAACCAGCATTACACTTTAAATATAGGGAACAAGTTTAGCAGCATTGTTAAAGGTGTGGTTTTGGACTGTTGTTTATGTGACAACTGACTTTGTGTGTGTGTGTGGGTGTGGCTTCACAGTGCAAGGACATGCTGGGAGACTGGTGTTTGGGGAGCTGAAAGGGAAGACGTGTGTTTGCATGCAGGGCCGTTTCCACATGTATGAGGGACACTCACTCTGTAAGGTCAGTACCAGATCACAGTGGTCAGTATTAAGAAACAGGTGTTAATGCACATCCCACTTGGCATAAATAGACAATAAATAACAACTGTCACTGTTCACAGGGAGCAAATATTACTACCAAGAAACACAGCATTCTAATATCCTGTTCTCATTTGACCCAGGTACCAAGCTTTGAATGGCTCACCAAACATTTGTATTCTTGGAAATCATGCAGTCTCAAGTCTGAAGTTTGAATACTGTAGCTGTACATCCTCATTCCTCCTCAACCCGCTCTCCACCAAATAGTTAACATGTCTCAACCATGCACAAGTCAAGCCTCACCATTCCTTCTCAACCCTCACCCTCCCCTAGTCATGACTCAACCATGCACAAGTCAAGCTTCACCATTCCTTCTCAACCCTCACCCTCCCCTAGTCATGACTCAACCATGCACAATTCAAGCCTCAACCCTCCGCCTCACCCCTCTCATCAGTGCATTAGTCAGATCTCACTAGCCTAACCCTTGCATTACACCAAATGTTGTTCTTTATTGAAGAGGAAGGGTGGAGGAGGAATGGTTCCTCATATGTATTCCATTAAAGGACACGATTCTAGAGAAATACTAGAGAAAGAACTAATGCTATAATTGTTTTTTCTTGCAGACAATTTTATTATTATTAAAAGCATGACGTTTCGTCCCACCAGGCCTTCATCAGGACCTTTAAAGGCTATGAGAAACAGTGGGACTCAACACTCTCCCACAGCCATAGCTCAGTATTTTCTTTACTGTTTAGATGATTTTGACATGCTGTGTTGCATTTCAACATAATTTATGACCCAAAGTGAAGGAAAGGCTACGAGTCAAGGTTTCTAATGAACAGGGCATGTCTGGCACTTGAGGAGCTCTAATCTGGTTATGAAACAGCAGCTGGTATGGTAGCTGGTCTGTCTTCCTTTCTCCATTGGGCTCTGGCTTGGGAGTAATCTGCAGCATGAGGCCCATGTGACTGGGGCTGCTGATCCCTCACTGGGAGGCAGTGTTTGGCTGACCACAAACGACCAACCCACTCACTCACTTACTTCCTCACCAGATTTGTGTGTATTGTTGTGAATTGTTAGATATTACTGCACTGTTGTAGCTAAATGTTAGCATGGGAGAGTCCATGTCTGTGCCCCAAATGGCTCCCTATATAGTGCACTACTTTTCTCCAGGGGCCATTGGGTAGTGCACTATAAGTAGTGCACTATTTGGGAATACAGTAGGTGCCATTTGAGACGCACCCAATGAGTCACAGCATCTGACCTTGGGTGATCACGTTGACCTGCATCACATGGCGCCATTCAATGCTTCTATTGTCTTCCTTGCACAACTCCAGGTTTTATGAAGTCGGCTCTGAGCTCAGACAGTTACTGAAGGGGATATGTAGTCCCACTTTAGGCTTATTCTCTCTCTCTCTCTCTCTCTCTCTCTCTCTCTCTCTCTCTCTCTCTCTCTCTCTCTCTCTCTCTCTCTCTCTCTCTCTCTCTCTCTCTCTCTCTCTCTCTCTCTCTCTCTCTCTCTCTCTCTCTCTCTCTCTCTCTTCAATTCAATGGGCTTTATTGGCATGGGAAACATAAACTACAGTATATGGACACCCCTTTGCTGCTATAACAGCCTCCATTCTTCTGGGAAGGCTTTCCACTAGATGTTGGAACATTGCTGCAGGGACTTGCTTCCATTCAGCCACAAGAGCATTAGTGAGGTCGGGCACTGATGTGGGGCGATTAAGCCTGGCTTGCAGTCGGCATTCCAATTCATCCCTAAAGTGTTTGATGGGGTTGAGGTCAGGGCTCTGTGCAGGCCAGTCAAGTTCTTCCACACCGATCTCGACAAACCATTTCTGTATGGACCTCGCTTTGTGCATGGGGGCATTCTGAAACAGGAAAGGGCCTTCCTCAAAGTTGGAAGCACAGAATCATCTAGAATGTCATTGTACACTGTAGCATTAAGATTTCCCTTCACTGAAACTAAGGGGCCTAGCCCGAACCATGAAAAACAGCCCCAGACCATTATTCCTCCTCCACCACACTTTACAGTTAGCACTATGCATTCGGGCAGGTAGCGTTCTCCTGGCATCCGCCAAACCCAGATTTGTCCGTCGGACTGCCAGATCGTGAAGTGTGATTCATCACTCCAGAGAATGCGTTTTCACTGCTACAGTCCAATGGTGGCAAGCTTTACACCACTCCAGCCGACGCTTGGCATTGTGCATGGTGATCTTAGGCTTGTGTGCGGCTGCTCGGCCATGGAAACCCATTTCATGAAGCTCCCGATGAACAGTTCTTGTGCTGACGTTGCTTCCAGAGACAGTTCGGTAATGAGTGTTGCAACCGAGGACATACGATTTTTATGCGCTCTGCATTTCAGCACACGGCGGTCACATTCTGTGAGCTTGTGTGGCCTACCACTTCGCGCCTGAGCCGTTGTTGTTCCTAGACATTTCCACTAGCAGGGCAGAAATTTGAGGAACTGACTTATTGGAAAGTCACTGAGCCCTTCAGTACAGGCCATTCTACTGCCAATGTTTGACTATGGAGATTGCATGGGTGTGGCTGAAATAGCTGAATCCACTCATTTGAAGGCGTGTCCACATACGTTTGGCCATGTAGTGTATGTTTACATTGCCAAAGCAAGTGAAATAGATAATAAACAATAAAAAAACTGTAAACATTACACTCACAAAAGTATCAAAGGAATAGAGACATTTCAAATGTCATATTATGGCTTTATACAGTGTTATAATGATGTGCAAATATCAGTACAGAAATCTCTCTCTGTCTCTCTCTCACTCTCACACAGACTACCTTTCCCGTGCGGGTATTTAAGCTCTTGGGGGTGGAGACCCTGATAGTGACCAATGCAGCAGGCTCGCTGGCAGACAACTACCAGGTTGGGGACATCATGATCATCAAAGATCATATCAACTTCCCTGGTCTGGCCGGGCTCAATCCCCTCAACGGACCCAATGATGACAAGTGAGTGAGATCCTCTAGTCTAGTGTCAGTGGTTCTCACTTTACAATAGGTCCTACTTACTAATGACCACAAACAACCCCAAAATACCAGAAACGACTCCAAAGAGCCTTTGGTGCTGTGTGACCCTTTAGTGCTGTGGTTCAGTAGCCTACATGCTGCAATAGAGCCCATCATTGCTTGGTGTTCTTTATTCAGCTTCATAGATGGACATTCACATTCACATTCATCACAATTCTTGAATTTGAAAATTGTTGTTTTGTGTTGACCAGGTTTGGTCCCCGGTTCCCTCCCATGTCTGGTGTGTATGACAAGGACCTGCGGAAGATAGCCTTTGACCTCTGTAAGAGCATGGGAGTCTCTCAGTTCGTCCAGGAGGGGGTTTACTGTATGGTGGGAGGGCCCAATTTCGAGAGCATCGCAGAGGCCAGACTCCTCCACAGACTGGGGGTGGACGCTGTGGGTGAGAGAACTAGAGCTTGTTCACTCCCAGATAGATTCTAGCCTGATCGGGTTTTGCTCTCTTGCCAGCAATGCCTTCTAGACAGACTTGTCTATTAAAGTGATTGGTGATTGGTGCCATGATAAGATATAATTTGGGGGCAAAATCTGCTCAGACATCTGAGGTGTGCTTTGTACATAATAATATTGGCTGTTCATAAAAATGTAGGTGTCCATTCTAATGCATTATAATATGATATGAGTAGCAGCAGGTGTTTATCTCCCTTCTCTTCTCCTCATAGGAATGAGCACAGCACCAGAGGTGGTGGTAGCCACCCACTGTGGCATGAGGGTGTTCGGCCTCTCTCTCATCACCAACAAGGTGGTGAAGAGCTACGATGACACAGAGTCTGTTAACCACGAAGCTGTTCTGGAGGTCAGCAAGCTGCGCTCGCAAACACTGAAGATGCTGGTCACCGAGCTGGTCAGCCGGATGGACATCAACAACAACACGGGCTGAACTGAAGAGAGCAGCAAGATGCGAAGCTACACCGAAACATTTCGACTCGCTCGTCATGATGAAAACATTCAACATTCCACAGCGACCCGGCCAATGGCACCCTGTTCCCTAGTGCACTACTTTTGACCAGAGCCCATGGCACCCTATTCCATATAAGTAGTGCACTATAGGGTGCCATTTCGGATGCACAACAAAAACCCTCCAAATCACTCCAAATCTTGCAGCTACAGTAGGCATGTTATGCAAACACGGTGTCCTGGTCAGTGACTTGAATATTGCTTGGGTTAAATCAACAATAATGTAATCTGTTCAGTCAGTACATTTGTATGTTGTGATATCACTACTGGGGTTTATGTGTGGTATATTTTGTATTTGTTGTGAAAAACCGGTACTCTCAAATGGACAATTTAACTTGTTATTTTTCAGCTGTATTAACTCATCTTTCTATCCACAATTGTGTGCTAATACATGTTCACAGATAATAAAAGTGAAAGATTATAATGCAGCTCTATTTATGATGAAATATTACGTATTACAAATCAATGTCACATTCAGAGAATTCTATAGATTAATATAATTGTGCACATTCATATTTACGGATTTATATAGTGCTTTTCATTCATGTAAAATATAATATTTTTCAATTGTACATTGTTACTCAACGTTTGTCTGATATTGGGTAAGGATTGCACAGACAATTAAATGTTTTATCACATTTAAAAGGTATTGAATTCTGAAAGAATTGTGTTATGTCATTTTCCTGTAGCCAAATACATAATTCACACAGGATTTACGGTATGTTGCCTGTAAAAGAAAGTAGGCAATATTACACTTCATATACATCACAGAAGACTGAAATATAATAAAACTGTTTGACATAGAAACACCGGATCTTTGGTGTATATATATATATAAATTATGCAATTACAAATATTAATAACATTCCACCCATGAGGCCACTAGGTCATTTGACTGGAGGAAAGGTCTACACAGATAAGACACACTTACATCCCCCTGCCCTGATCAGAGTTAACACACATATATTTTATAGTAAGAATATAATGGAATATAACATAATAGAAATATGATTTTTCCCAGACAACTTGAGTGTCACAGGAAGGTGTGGAACCGCTGTTATTTAACAAAAAAGTGATATTTTGTAGGTGCTTGTATGTGCTTTAGAAACCTTAGAATCTGATCATGTAAATAAATAAATAAATCTGACCTGGATAAACATCTGTAGGACGATTTGAGAAAGTTGCACATTAATAGCTTGATAACAAATGTCCTCGCCAACTGATTTTTTAATAGTAACCTTGGACAGCTGACAGTAGCAGCAGACAGTCTAAATAGGATTGAAATTGACAAGTTTAATGTCGGCCAACAATAGAATGTTCATGATTTAATGGTTGCCAAAGCCGGTTTTACACTGAGGCGTTGGAGGGACTTTTAAACATAATACCACTATAAAAGTACATGTTTTGTTAACAGCAATTCCTTTCAGACATAAAGAAAAGGCGGTAAAAAGTTGAAAGGATGGTAAAGTTGGTGGCTTTTCGCCTTGGTATGAAAGGGATATTTGAAAGAAAACAAGTGTTAAAGAAGCCATTTGATCGGATTGGAAAGCCGCTAAAGCCTAAATCGAGGGAGAAGCTGAGGAAGACACAATATGGGAGGAGAATGAGAGGAGATGGAGATGCTCAGTTCTTCTGGCAAGGCACTGCTTATCAGCATAACAACACAGCACCTATACTTCTACAGTTGAAGTCGGAAGTTTACATACACCTTAGCCAAATACATTTAAACTCAGTTTTTCACAATTTCTGACATTTAATCCTTGTAAAAAGTCCTTGTCTTAGGTCAGTTAGGATCACCACTTTATTTTAAGAATGTGAAATGTCAGAATAATAGTAGAGAGAATGATTTATTTCAGCTTTTATTTCTTTCATCACATTCCCAGTGGGTCAGAAGTTTACATACACTCAATTAGTATTTGGTAGTAATTTGCCTTTAAATGTTTAACTTGGGTCAAACGTTTCGGGTAGCCTTCCACAAGCTTCCCACAATAAGTTGGGTGAATTTTGGCCCATTCCTCCTGACAGAGCTGGTGTAACTGAGTCAGGTTTGTAGGCCTCCTTGCCCGCACACACTTTTTCAGTTCTGCCCACACATTTTCTATAGGATTGAGGTCAGGGCTTTGTGATGGCCACTCCAATACCTTGACTTTGTTGTCCTTAAGCCATTTTGCCACAACTTTGGAAGTATGCTTGGGGTCATTGTCCGTTTGGAAGACCCATTTGCGACCAAGCTTTAACTTCCTGACTAATGTCTTGAGATGTTGCTTCGATATATCCACATAATTTTCCTTCCTCATGATGCCATCTATTTTGTGAAGTGCACCAGTCCCTCCTGGAGCAAAGCACCCCCACAGTATGATGCTGCCACCCCCGTGCTTCACGGTTGCAAGCAACCCCCTTTTTCTTCCAAACATAACGATGGCCATTATGGCCAAACAGTTATATTTCTGTTTCATCAGACCAGAGGACATTTTTCCAAAGGTACGATCTTTGTCCCCATGTGCAGTTGCAAACCGTAGTCTGGCTTTTTTATGGCGGTTTTGGAGCAGTGGCTTCTTCCTTGCTGAGCGGCCTTTCAGGTTATGTCGATATAGGACTCGTTTTACTGTGGATATAGATACTTTTGTACCTGTTTCCTCCAGCATCTTCACAAGGTCCTTTGCTGTTGTTCTGGGATTGATTTGCACTTTTCGCACCAAAGTACATTCATCTCTAGGAGACAGAATGCGTCTCCTTCCTGAGCTGCGTGGTCCCATGGTGTTTATACTTGTGTACTATTGTTTGTACAGATGAACGTGGTACCTTCAGGCATTTGGAAATTGTTCCCAAGGATGAACCATCTTGTGGAGGTCTACAATTTGTTTTCTGAGGTCTTGGCTGATTTATTTTGATTTTCCCATGATGTCAAGCAAAGAGGCACTGAGTTTGAAGATAGGCCTTGAAATACATCCACAGGTACACCTCCAATTGACTCAAATGATGTCAATTAGCCTATCAGAAGTTTCTAAAGCCATGACATCATTTTCTGGAATTTTCCAAGCTGTTTAAAGGCACAGTCAACTTAGTGTATGTAAACTTCTGACCCACTGTAATTGTGATACAGTGAATTATAAGTGAAATAATCTGTCTGTATACAATTGTTGGAAAAATTACTTGTGTCATGCACAGAGTAGATGTCCTAACCGACTTGCCAAAACTATAGTTTGTTAACAAGACATTTGTGGAGTGCTTGAAAAACGAGTTTTAATGACTCCAACTTAAGTGTATGTAAACTTCCGACTTCAACTGTAAATGCGGAACATGGATTCTCTGGCTTTCCATGGCAAATGTGTGGTTTCAAATAAAATAATTATTGTTCACTTCTGTAGATAACATTACATTACAGTCCCCTGTAGTTCAGTTGGTAGAGCATGGCGCTTGCAACACCAGGGTTGTGGGTTCGTTTCCCACAGGGGGCCAGTATGAAAATGTATGCACTCACTAACTGTAAGTCGCTCTGGATAAGAGCTTCTGCTAAATGACTAAAATGTAAAAATGTATACAATTACAAATTGAGCTTTATGTGATGTAATAAACTGCTGAAGTCTGTAATCTGGGTATGTATTTTGTATTTATAGATATCATGTAAATTAATAAACTTGTCCTGTGTATTTTCACACTGTATGTCTCATTCATCTTTACAATCTCATCATAATGATTATTTATTTACACACTGTGGCAAGGGTTATGATTGACAGTCAAACATACATTTATTGTAAAATAATCTGTGACACTTACAGTGGGGTCCGAAATGATTGACACCCTTGATAAAGATGAGCAATAATGACTGTATAAAATAAATAATTCAAATACTGAGCTATATTGTATGCTCAAAAACATTGGGAAATTATATGATTTCATACTAATTGCTCAGAGAAAGATTTAGTTTAACAAGTAATACTTTTTTTCTCATAAAATGATTGACACCCTTAAAGATTCTTATAAATAAAGTAGTCAAGAGTTTAGCATTTGGTCCCATATTCCTAGCATGCATTGACTACAAGAATAGACTTTGTTTCTAAACAATTCTGCATTAATATGGATGCTACCATGATTATGGATAATCCTGAATGAATCGTGAATAATGATGAGTGAAAAGAGTTAGGGAGGGTCAAAGATCATACCCCCAAGACATGCTAACCTCTCACCATTACTAATAACAGGAGAGGTTAGCATGTCTTGGGGGTATTATCTTTGACCCTCTCTAACTTTCTCACTCATCATTATTCACAATTCATTCAGGATTATCTGTATAGAGTAATAGCATGCAGCATACCCAACCCACACACCCTGCCCCAACTATGTCTTATCTCTCTACTGGGAGAGGTGACTCAGACTGTTCCATGGAACCTTGAATCACGGAGATGACAGAGAAAAGAGCAGGGTCCATAAACATCAATGACAGACTTAGAAATAGAATGACTAGTCATACTAGTCAGAATTACTAGTTATTGACTTGAATGGGAATGTCCATTCTAGTAATTATATTTCTAATGTGACAAGTAGGGTTGTGACAAGTAGGGTTGCAAAATTCCTGGAACTTTATATTAATTCCCTGGTTTTCACAAAATCCCGGTTGGAGTTTTACCGGAATTGGAGGGAATAAGCAGGAAATCTGGAATCCTCCAACCATGATTTCTGGAAAACCAGGAATTTTGCAACCCTAGTGACAAATCAAATCAAATCAAAATGTATTTGTCACATGCTTCGTAAACAATAGGTGTAGACTAACAGTGAAATGCTTACTTAGGGGCCCTTCCCAACAACGCATAGAGAAAAATAATAGATAACACAAATTAGTAAGGATAACTTGGATATATACACGGGGTACCAGTACCGAGTCGATGTGCAGGGGTACGAGGTAATTGAGGTAGATCCGTATAT